CACTCCATCTCCCAAACAAAATACAAAAGACCACAGCAGGACCTTCATTGATTTAACAATTGGAATTAAAAAGGGAAGTAATAAATTCAGGGGGAGTATCTCTGATCTAAACTCTGATATTTCTTCATCCCTTATCCTCTTATCTTTGATAACTTCCTATTTAATTGTGATACAATTTATTATATGGTTATCTCTGATACTTTTCACGTTATGTTTCAATTGAAAAAAATCTAGTTTTTGTCATCATCAAAAAGGGGGAGATTGTTAGAACAAAGTTTGAATCTACTACCCTAAGTTTAAGTTTTGATGATAACAAAATGCTAAGATATATTAATTGTATGATTCATGTAAGACATATGCTACCTAAAAAATTACATTTTGTTTTACAGAAACTCTGATGGGTATCAGCAAGAGAATATCATCATCAGCATCAGAAGATGAAATATAAACATCAACATCAGAGGATGTTATATCAGATACCAGAATTAGAAGATCAACATGTGATTACGCTGAAGCTTGATGAACAGATCTGCGCGTAACAATCTGAACTCTGATCAAGAAAACAACAATTCATCAACATCTAGCAGCGACAGAATGAGCCAAAGCCAGAACACGCTTTAGTGGCAACGGTACTGTGCATTCAAGACCATTTATTATCAACAGCATTATTCCAGACAAAGATCTGCTTATTATGGAAAGAATGTTATTGGCATTGAAACGGAATTACTAACTCCAACGTACCATCTTTCAATGCTATATAAACAAGTCAGTGAAGATTGAATTGGCTAATGCTCTACAAATATCTACACGCCTAAAGCTATTCATCATCTTCCTCACTCTCAGTTTGCTAAAGCTCTCAAATTCTTTATTCAATTATTTTAGCACTCTAGTTCTCATAAGCTTAAATTGTGTAGTATCACAGTTGTGATAAATAGTTTTTGTAGAAAACATTCAACACACTTAGATTTCATTTATCTGTAAGAAAGTATTACCTTGAGAAACCGGTTTGTGGTTTGACTCAAGAAGGCTTTAGCAGTTGTTAAAGCAGTTGTAATATTCAGTTGAATATAGTGGATTAAGACCTCGTTGGAGAGAGGCGAAATCACCTTTACGGGTGGACTGGAGTAGTTTGAGATCAAACGAACCAGGATAAAAATACTGTGTTGACTGCAATTGATTTCTAGTTTTACAATTCAACCCCCCTTCTTGTGTTTTTCACTTCTTCACCTCTAACTAGGGTTTCAATTTTCATCAAGATGTGTGAGCTCCAAAGGTCTAAAGTGTTTCCCATGGTCCTAATATGTCTTCAAGGTCATCCATGCCATGTTTCATGCCTTGCACAATAAGTTTGCTCAGTCAATTTCCCAAATGTTTGAAAATCAACTATACTAGGTTAAAAGTCAATTGTGGCCTATATACAGTCAAACTTCAATATTTTTGGTCAACATCAATATTTTGAAATGATATCCATCATTTGATAAATGGTTGATCATGGTTCCTCAAGAAATTCTCCAAATTCATCAAAAGTCAAGAATTGCTAATTAGGGTTTTTATAGGAAAAGTCAACAAACCTTGACCAGGCATAACTTTCTCATACTTCATCCATGTTTTCCCAACCAAAGCTCATTTTGAAGAGAATCCAATTCCATACAACTTCTCTTCAGCCATCAATCCAAAGAAATGCACCATTTGAAAGATACAAGCTTATACATTACAGGTCATTTTCAGAAAGTCAATAAAAGGCACTTTTTGTCAAGACCATTTACATCAAGATAAAATCTTCAAATGAAAAATTGATCAAAAGATGGATTAAATTATACATTTTGGGATTTCCAAAAAGTCAAAGATCATCATCATGATATTAAAATTGAGCAAGTTATGGCTTGCCCAAGTTGGGAAAATTTGGGAATTTTCAAGAATTATGCATTGAGAAAACTTGAAGTTTTAAGGCAAGGGCACAATTTCTTGGACTTAAAGCATCTTCCTAAGTTTATAGAGGACCTCTAAAATTATTCTTGCCAAGCTTTGCATTTGATAACTATTTTATTCATATTTATTTTAATTTATTTCAAATAAATATAAAATAAAATGTATAAAATAATTAGAAATGGGCTTTGAGCTTTGGGTTGATATTTTGGACATCCTAGGCCCATAAAATATCGTGCAAAGGTGTCCACATTCATTCAAATTCAAAAAATGACAAGTTTCCTTGTTTTTGGCCAAAGTTACAAATTTCATTCATGACTTTGAAACGTTTGCTTTAAGGTTGTTTAAACTTTTGTTTTCTTGTCTCCTCATTCCTCTCTATATAAACAAGCATCTAGCAAGCATTACAACACGCCTACACAGCCTAGAGAGAGCTCTACCATTTTTGCAAAATTATCAAAAGCAGTAAAAATTTGAAGCCTACTTTGCAGGTACTTTTGGTCTGAAATAGTAATCATACATTGCTCTTGAGGTTCCCATGGACTTGTTCCAACCAGCCTCAAAGCTTGCAAGGTCCCAGATCACCGGATCCAAGCTATTACCATTTTGGTATAATCTCAAATTCGAATCTCTATTTTTATTAATTTGTTGAATGTTCTAATGTGTGTATATGAGTTCCCAGATATCCTTAGAGCAGGTTAAGGGAATTACATGGAATGCATGATGTCAAGAACATGAGATACCAAGTACCATCAAGTATTTCCCACACTGGATCCAAGAATGGACCTGGGCTTCACAATCTGGACTTAGTGAAATTTCAATTGCACCCCTCATTCTACTTCAGTTGTCAAGCTCAATTCCTTTCTTTTTGCTTTATTAAATTATTTCATCTCTAAATCATTTTTATTATAATAATAAAAAACTCACAAAAAATTTAGGATTAGACTTTTTAATCAAATAATTAATTTTTTAGTTAATAAATTAATTAAAACTTTAACCTTTTTCTTAATTAAAAATGAATTAGAATTTAAGTCTAATTACTTTCTTTTCATTATAAAAAAAAACACAAAAAAGAGTTTAGAATAATTAATTAAGTTTTTTTCTTAAATTAAAAACAACACAAAAAAGATTTTTTTCTCACTAGGTTTTAGACCGTATTTTCGTTCTTTCGGGCATTATTCATTTCTCGCAGTAACTGTTATTTGAGATGTAATAGTTTTAAATATGACTTTGTATTTATTTCTTTATTTTTTCCCCAATTGTTTGTACATTGTAAATGCTCCCTCCCCGAAAATCATGTAATAGTCTAGATTTACGCTTCCTGCACTTTATTTTCTGTATATAAACTGCTAGTAACTAGGTGTGTATGGCGAGACTAAAAAATAACGCTAGCAAACTTAACAAAAAGAGAAAAATAACTGAACATAACACACTTGCACATATACACCTCTAGGGTACCCCACTTTGGTTTCCTTTAGAAATAAAACAGTCATGAGGCAGAAACGCTTTAGCAAAGACCCATAAATTAAAAGATCATAGTCCCTCGATGACCCTACAGTTGACTTCTCGGTAAATGATCTAGTCCCTAAACAAAATTGCTAAAACATTTCCACAAGTTTCCTTCTTGACTGTAACGTCCCTTTCGAATGTCCCTAATACATCCAACGATAGAGCTACCTACTCAGTAATAGTAGGATAGCACTATCTAAAAGATAGGAGGAAAAGAACGACCCTTTTCAAGTATAAAAGTAGATAGCTGTTAGAAGTTTGCTCAAAAACATCTTTTGTACTTACACAAAAAACTACTTTTCAAAAGACATTTTCAAACACTGTGTATACTTTCTCCACTATTCCGAGAAACATTACAAAGTTCGCCATACTAAAGGCGTTTCCAAAATATTTTCAAACACACAAAGCACAAATTACTTTCAAGATGAGAAAACCTCTAAGAGCCCGTAGATAACTACGGATGGAAAGGGTGCTAACACCTTCCCTTTCCATAATCTACCCCCTTACTCATAATAATCTCGAAAAAGATCTTTTTCTGTTCTTTTCACCCTTTCCTTAATTTGGATAAAATAAAAGTCAGTGGTGACTCTTGCTTACCGCAATATTTGCAAACACAAACACAAAATCAGTATTAAACAGTCGGTTCTGCCACCGTATCACAATACTCATTAGGATTTTTTTCCTTTTTTCATTTAGAAGTACTGATTGTTATTTTACTATGGTCATTATTGGGTTCTAACATTAATATTTTAGTTATAATTAGATTATTATTTTTCATTTTTAGGATAGAATCACGTTTTGTTATATTAAATCAATGAAGTTTTGTTATATTATAACTTAGTTCTGCTAGTCCTGGCATGTTGTTTGTACCACAACATCTTTTGGTTGCTGTAATACTTTTTGCACCTCTGTTACTAACGAATTTAATTTGTTTTGAAAATAGTCAATGAAGTTTTAAGCCTTTTGAGTAAAATATTATAAAGAACCAATAAAAGTCACATATGGTTTCCAAAAATTCATAATTTTGTTGACAAAGTTATCCTATTTGAGGAGAAATCTGAAAGAAATATTTTATTGAAACTCAAGTATAGATAGAATTTAATATTCCTATAAAAAACAAAGAAACTTAACCTACAAGTTGAAAAATTAGATCTCCATCTTCATCTGCAGATTGAACAAAATTGATTGCAGATGATTCTAAAGCCAAATCTTTCCAAATGCAGAGTAAATCAGATTAATTTCACACCAAATCTCTTTATTATACTCTAAATTCAATAAACCTTTAAATTTGGATCAAATCAATACAATATTACCCAAAATAGATCCAATCAAGATGAAGTGTTCAAATTATATCTCGTCACATTTGTTATCAAAATCTCAAAATAAGACAGAATAAACTCAAAACATAAACAATTTTATTAACATTAAAAGTACTAATTACAAATCTTCATCAATACGGAATAAAACCAGAAGCAGAAACAATTTGAAATATCATACCCAAAATTATAGACAAATTAAAATGTTTCCTAAAACAAATTTCCCAACGATTGCTATAAAAACCTAAATTACAGTAAGAGGAGGGACAAAAAAAAATAGTACACAGAGAGAATAAAAAAATTGCAGCAAGAAAAAAAACAGTATACAGAGCGATAAACAAAGAAATTTGAAGCAGGAAGAAGGAGAAGAGATTCGAATTTTAATTTCTGAAACCTTGGGTCTAGCCGCCGTAGTATACTACCTTCACCCGCCAGTACCTGCGAAATATGAAACAAGGAGAAGCTTGGAAGAAGAAGAATAGGAGTTGAGAGGGAGAAATGAAACTCACCGGAAAATCCACCGCCGCATGCAGTCACTATAGACGAAGCCACGTCATCAAGCCCTGGTCGGAACAACCATCGTTCGCCCCTTAGATTTTCTTTCTGACCATTGCCTTCAGGTAGCGCTGTCGTCGATCTCCAAGCTAGCAGATGAGGAAAGATATTTGTTGAATAAGATAGAGAAGAGAGTTTTTCAAAAGTGAAGAGCAGGAACGTTTTTGCATTGGAGAAAGAGGAAGGTACCTTTTCTTTTGATACATCTTCAGTGCTGATGCTACGTTTTCTTATTTATTTGTTTCCATGATTTACTCATTAATTTTTTTTACTCTTTAATTTGGAATAAATAAATTACTTGCTTCAATTTGAGGAGAAGGTGGTTAATTGTGTGGCTATTTTGACTCAACAGCAAAATTTGGTTTTTGGAGTCCCATTACCGTTTTTTGTTGAACGTGAATGATGGGAGTGGATACCTTCCCTCGTATAGAATCGAGTCCAAATCTAGAATATTTGAATTTTTTTAGGGTTATTCCTTTATACTCCCTTCCATTAGGATAAAAATTAAGGGTGGTGACTCTATTTAAAAACCAGTTGCAACAACTGGCGACTCTGTTGGGGACTCAACCCTAGGTTTAGAAGCTTTATCTTTCGATTTTAGGGTTTTAGGGTTTTTCTTATTTCTTTTGGGTTTTATTATTTTTTATTTAATTATTTATTTATTTTCTCGCTTATTTGTTTATTATCCATTATATTTATATATTTGTGATGGAATTTATAATTCTGCAATATTATTCTCAAAACCCTTAGAAAGAAGGTTCGTCTATTAGCCAAGGGGTTACATCAACCATATGAGTTTATGTGATGAATTCGCCTAGAGTCAGTGGAGTTTTGAAAAATGAATACCTTTCGAGAGACATACTCTTGGGAAGTAGGACTTTGAGATGACACCTACGACTCTTTGTACGGCCTTCAAACAAAAAACTCATGATGAGACCTTTCATGACCTAGAGACGAAAGTTTCGGTCTGTAAAGAGACTCCGCTTATGGGAGGCCCCTTGCGCCTTTCTCTCTAGTATTATTCATGATACCCTTAAGGAAACCACATTATAGGGAGGGTATAATATCCGTAGGCCAATATTAAGAACCTACCTTCTAAGGATACCTTTCACAAATCTCACTACAATATGTAAACCCGCAAGGGTTATCTTTTCTTCCACTACTATCTTTAGCCCGCAGGGCTTCCGTCTTTATAATCATCCCTATCATATAGGGACTCCTCATTGGCCATAATACGCAAGGTATTCCTACCTGTCTGAATCTCTAAGAAAGTGTAGGAAATCATCAAATCCATTTCTATTGTCATCTTCGTCTGTAAGGAGTCCCTGCCTGTCTCAAATTCGGAGTCAGAGTAGGATATCATCTTTAAACTTGTATAGGGTACCCCTATGTTTACCACCATACTATGTCTATGTTGTATTTCATATCCGTGAATTTTTATACTTTTTCATACCCAAGAATTTTCATTCATTTTCATTCTTCATCCATCTGCATAAAACTCCTATCTCCCCCTCTCACAGAAAACTTCCAACGGTAGTCCAACAAGGTGATTCCCAAATACTCAAAACGAACTCGAGATAACTCACGAAGCAAGTGTAAAATTAGATACAAAAATGGAAGAAGGTCAACAAGCCACAACTGAAGACATCATTACACCTCAAGAAAACACCCAGGCTCGACCTTAGCCTATACAAGTTTCAATGGAGAACCTGGTTGTACAAGAACAGGTTGTTTTTCAAGACGGCTATACTCAATCTCATGAATCTATTAAGTATCATAAATTTGCATTCCCTACGCAAAATTCTCAAGGGGTAGAACTAATCATGAACATTAAAGAACTCCAAAATCTCGAGGACACCAGAAGATACCACATGCTTAAAAAGAAGCTTAGCGCCATAACTTTGATACTTCTGCCTTAAGTTATGTTGAAGACATGATACTTCCTCCAAAGTTTAAAATGCTAGACATCGAAAAGTACAAAGGAACTAGTTGCTCTAAGACCCACTTGAAGATGTATGTTAGGAAGATGGCAGCATACCCATGCAACGACAAATTGCTTATCCAATTTTTTCAAGACAGTCTTAGTGGAGCATCATTGGAATGGTATACACCATTGGAAAGGAACCACGTTCCCAGCTGGAAAGACTTGTCTTTGGAATTTCAGAGACATTATCAATACAACATATACATGGCTCCAATTCGCATTAAATTGCAAGATTTGTCTCAGAGGAGTAACGAATCTTTCAAAGAATATGCGCAAAAATGGAGAGAATTGGCTGCTCAAGTCCAACCGCCTATGATGGATAAGGAATTGGTAGACATGTTCATAAGCACCCTACAAGGTCAGTACTATGAAAAAATGCTAGGCAGTATACCATCACGCTTCTCTGACCTAGTAATAGTCGGGGAACACATCGAGAACGACATCAAAACCAGAAAAATCCGAAGCATCTCGAGTAGCTCGACTAGTGAATCCCTTAGAGATTTCCAAGAGGAAGAAGAAATTGAAACAAATTCTATTTGGGGAACTTACCAAGCTCCAGAACCTTCATCTATCGTGCCTCATCATCAATATTCGTATGCAGTAGATGCTCAATACCAACAACCACCCTCTAGTCTTCAACACCAGCAGCCATGGCCTATACCACAGAACCAGCATGTTAAGATTTCATCTCAACATCGACGTTAGAATCGACAAGTCCAGAATCGAAACAATCACCATCAACGCTCGAATCAGCATAAGCATCCAAACAACCAAAGAGGGGAAATCTCCAGTTCGACCCGATCCCTATGACATACAGTCAATTATGGTCATATCTGGTACAAAATTCATCAATGACCCCTATATAAACCAGATTCATGAAGTATCCATTTCCTCCTTGGTACAACTCGGATGTTCAATATGAGTTTCATGGTGGAGTGGCGGGGCATTTGATTGAAGAATGCAACTCATTCAAAGAAGCGGTACAAGAGCTTATTGACAATGAGAAATTAACTTTTGAAGAATGTGGCCCACATAGGTTGGAAAATTCCTTGCCCTGATAGCCAGATCACTAAAGAAGCTTATCCTTAGTATAATTAGGATTTATCATTTCGAATTGTAATTTCTTTATTGCTAAGTGTTATTTGTTATAAAATTTGTACTCTTTGGACAAGTAATTCCAATAAAATAAGCATGCATGTTTTTGAAATTGATTCATTCCACGAATAATGAACGACTTTCCATTCTCGCTTTTCTTTTCCATTTTAAAATTAATAAACTCTGATGGAGAATGATGAAAATACAAAATAATCAAATCTTGTTGATGTATGCTTTTTAATAGTAAGGCTTAGCTGACGATGTAAGGCATTGTTTCAATTCCTAAATAGTGGAGAGATAAGGAGTTAATCCGTAGTTAATCTCCTCGAGCCAGAAGTCGGAGTTCTTTCTATTCTCTAAAAAAACCATAATCTTAACCAGGGGCAGGGTAGATTTCAATTAATTCAACGATGCATTCAAATCTAGGAGACTTGAAATGATCTAAGCAAAGGTTCAAGCATATCTTTTTCCTCGGTTGATCATTGAGGGAACGATATAAGAAAAGATTTGAGCAGATCATTTCCCCCACGTTCATCATCCAAGATTGAGGAATCGATAAAAAAATAAAGTCCACGACGTCTTTCTTCCTCAACACGTCAATCAAGATCAAAGAAAAGATGAAGATGAAGCTTACAACAATCAGCATGGCAGTCACAAATTTTCAAAATCAAAAGCAAAAAAAAAGGAAAGAAGAAAGTGAATGCCCGCTCAAACAAATCAAAACTTGACTTAGGAAAAAGTTAGGGCATCCCGATGGATAAAAAAAATTCAAAATTCAAAAATTAAAAAAAATATGGGTCCATGCAAAATAAGGGATTAAAAACAAATAAATTGGAGAACAATCTTGTGACGGCCACCTCAAGAACCTCATAGGCTTCTCATCAATGCTTGGGTCTTATTATGATACGGTGGCAGAACCGACTGTTAATACTAGTTTTGTGTTTGTGTTCGAAAATGTTAGTAATCAAGAGTCACCATCGACTTTTCTTTTATCCAAATTAAGGAAAGGGTGAAAAGAACAGAAAAAGACCTTCTCGAGAATTTTCTGAGTAAGGGGGGTAGATTATGGAAATGGAAGGTGTTAGCACCCTTTCCATTGTAGTTTTCTACGGGCTCTTAGATGCTAGATCATGTTTTTTTTTATGAAAATTACTTGTGCTTTGTGTTTTGAAAAAGTAGTTTGAAAATGCCTTAGTGAGGCGATTCGCTTTGTGATAACTCTTGTAGCAGTCCTCAAGAGTGTTGATAAAGAAAATGTTTTTGAAAGTGTTTTGAAATGTTTAAGTGTGAGTTTGAAAATTTGTTTTGCTTGAGCAAGCATCTAACAACTATCTACTTGTACTCGAGAAGGTGGTTCTTTTCCTCCTATCCTTTAGATAGTGCTATCCTACTATTAGTGAGTAGGTATCCCTATCGTTGGATGTTTGAGGGACATTCGAAGTGACGTTACGGTCACGAAGGCAACATGGAAAGGAATTTTAGTAACTGTCCTAAAGTTCTAAGATCACTTTTAACCGAGGCAACATCGAGAGGGTCATCGAGGGACTTGTGATCTTTTAAACTAGAGAACAGCCACTAAAACTTCTCACGTTTCGAGAATTGTGACCATTTTCCGAAAGAAACCAAAGTGGGGTACTCTAGAGGTGTATATGTGCATGGTGTGTTATGCTCAATTATTTTAGTCTTGCACATTTAGGTTTTCTAGCATTTTAATTTTCAGTCTTTCCATACAATCCTAGTTACTAGCAGTGGTATATACAGTAATTTAAAGTGTAGAAATGTAAAGTGCGGGAATGTAAATCCTACGCTGTTACAATGTTTTGGGGAGGGGACATTTACAAGGTACAAAAACTAGGAGTGCAGAAACTAAAAGCAGAAAATAAATCCTAATTACTATTACATCCCAATATACAGTTACATCAATAATGTAAAATGCGAGGAAAAAAATAAATAATGCGTGAAGGTTAAAAGTTCCTCTAAAACCTAATAAGAAAATCTTTTTGCTTATTTTTTATTATGAAAAGAAAATAATTAAATTTAAATCAAGTCCAAAGTTCTAATTAAATTTAAATGAAAGAAAATAGTTAAAATATTTATTTAATTTATTTACAAAAATTAGTTTA